AAGAGTTGCCTGCGCAAATCACCTTTGAACTGGCAGGTATCTTTCCCCGTTCTGAATCTAACCTCAACTCTAACCTTAACCCTAACCCAAACCCTAAATCCTAACCTTAACTCTAACCCTAACCCTAACCCTAACTCTAACACTAACCCTAACCCTTGTTAACCCTAACCCTATCCCCTTCCTTACACTAATTTCAAAAGCCCTCCCAGTAATTCCCAAGCCTGTACGGGAATATCATCCTCTCTCTGTCTCAGAGCCCCCCACTTATCTTGCAGAGAGATGGACCTGTCCATCCACCTTCCAAAAGCACGTCCCTTTGGCTGGCTCAGGGCTTCCTGTAGTCCCTGGTTTCTTCTCTTCGTCAGCTCCAAGAAAGGAAACCAAAATCAGTGCAGGACTTTAGCATCACATCGATCAAACCCCAACTATTCCCACACTCACCCTCTCCTAAGTGCCCCCAAGTCCTCGTGTCACTGCCTCCAGCAAGAGGTGCAGAGCTTGCAGCTCCCACTGTGTGGTACACCTGGAACAGGGAAAACAAACTTCCAGTGGCATTTCTGACACTTCCCCGGGCCCCTGCTCTTCCACGATACCTCCCCGACTCACCTGGGATGCTCATTTCTTTCCAAAGGTTACCGGGCTGGCACCTCCAAAGAGAAGAGGGCAATGCTTAAATGCCCAGCCCTGAAGTCCCTGCAATCGCCCACAAGGCCAACGCCAAAGCACCCTGACCTTGTCGCTCGGCTCCTCAGCCCGTGGTCTGCTCCTCTGGCAATACGGATGGGCACTGCAAAGAAATCACAGAGGCAAAGGCACATACGGACGCATTCCCTCAGAGTGCAACATTCTGACCAAAGTTCCCCACTCGGGTTCTTTTTCACTCACCCCTTACTGCAAGGACCTCCTTCCCATTCTGCTGACTCTTGTCACCTTGTGTATCACTGGAAAAAAAACAAATGACAAGGTATGTGCTTAGATTCACCAATGATACAGCTCGCCATAAATATCTTTGCATTCAGACTGGCCAGAATATTCTCACCTTGCTTGTCTGCCCTTTAATTCCGACAGCCCAATCGACCACTTGAATCTGACCTGGAAAGAAAGAACAAAAGGTCGGTCACACAATGAATCACAGAATCAGAGCATCAGCTGGATTGGAAAAAACCTCTGAGATCATCAAGTCGATATCTTGATCCCCTACCACTCTGCTTACTAGAGCCTGGCACTAAGTGCCACATCCAGTCTTACCTTAAAACCCTACTGGTACAGAGGATTCACCGCTTTCCTGAGCTGCCCATTGAAATGATTGATTACCCTCTCCTCAGGGAATTTCTTCCTAATATCTAGCCTCAACCTGATGTGGCAGAGCTTAAGACCATGCCCTCTTGTCTTCTTGAGAGCTGCCAGGGAGAGGAGACCAACCCCCACCTGGCTACAACCCCCTAGCAGGTAGTTGTAGAGTGGGATGAGGTCTCCTCTGAGCCTCCTCTTCTCCAGACTAAACAACCCCAGCTCCAGACTAAACAACCCCAACCCCAGACTAAACAAGCCTCCCTCCCTCCTCAGAGGACCTGTGCTCGAGTCCCTTCACCAGCCTGGTTGCTCTTCTCTGGACCTGCTCCAGCACCCTGACACCCTTCCTGAGGGGCCTGAACTGGACACAGAACTCGAGGTGTGGCCTCATTAGTGCTGAGTCCAGGGGAAGTAATCACTTCCTTGCACCTGTTGGCCACACTGTCCCTGATCCAGGCAAGG